GAGGAATGTTCCCTATCCAACTGCAACTCAAATATTTCAAATTCAGCCCTAAGCTATGCATGGTACTCACGTAAGGACATATGAAAGTTTCTGCAGGAAAATTACTGACTTGGCAACCAGAAGAGCAAGAAGGCTAAAATTTCAGGCAGATGTTCCCTGTCCACGTGCAATTTAAAATTGTCAAATTCAGCTTTCCAAGCACGTGAAGTACCGAAGTACGGGTATGTGAAGGTTTTGGCGGGAAAATTGCTAACTCGGTAGTCAGAAAAGCTGGAAAGCTGAAATTATGAGGGGATGTTTCCTGTCCAAGCACAACTTAAGTATTTCAAATTCAGCCTTGAGGTATGCGTGGTTTTTACGTACGGGCACTTAAAAGTCTTAGCGTAAAAATTTCTCACTGAACAACTAGGTTGCTTTTAAAAGGCGACTGTTAAATGGAAATAGTACATTTACTTTGCAAAATTTATTGTGATTTATGCTAGTCATCGCAAAAGGTAGGTGTAAAGCAAGAGCTATTCATACAGTTAATGACCTGAGTAATTCAAAACCGGTGCAAAAATGCATGATATCACGGGCCCGCCCGGTGCGTTCCAGCTTGGGTTCATCTTTCGCAGGAACTAGGAGGAACTTCAGAATTGGGATGAAACTCCTTCTTTATGATTGGGGGCTATCGACCTGAACTTGTTCAAATTTTTTCACTTTTGCTGTGCTTGTTCATTTGTAAGCAAGTGCTAGAAGTAACACTTTCGAAACATTCATGCTATTGCAGAATGTGTGAAGGAATTAGGGTAAAAAGATAGTAATTGGCTGCTGAGATGATGAAAATATTTGGATAAAATGGGAATCGCCGCTTGGACGAGATAGCAAAGATTCAGTTCGGGACGAGCTACCAAAATGAGCCTGGGAGCAGATTTTGTCTGAAAGCACATTGTGCTTGAATCGTGCCGTGAACTAGGTTGATAGAGATTCAAGAGCTGCTGAAAAGTATTTTTTACCGGAAAGCAGTCTGTAACAAAAGTTGAACAGAATAACTCGTTCGGATTCGGAAAATGCCATTTCTCTATCAAAGAAGTGTCATTACTGACGATTTCTTTACCCGAATTTGTATAAAAATGCGCTGTTTTAAAAGATTACCGAGCCTTTGGCAACCATCGACACCATTTGTATCAGGGCGATGCACATAAAGAACGCTGCCATCTTGGAGGAACAGCATCGGGAACGTTGCCATCCTGAGGGAGCACCATAAGCCGGACCACTTCGCCCTTTCGTATTCTTCTTGTCGGAAGCACGAGACGCTGTTTCTTTTCCAACCATTTCATTAGTACGCCGTTCTTCCAGCACCTCCATTCATAAAATGTAGCGAAAGCTCTTAACTAAACACCAGGAGGTAGATCTTTTATATACAGCAAAACCAGTACCAGGGGATTATGCTTTCCTACCATATGAAGTATTTCAGCAGTAGTGGTGGCATAGTCTGGTTGCCATGCAACGAGAGCATAAATAGACAAAGGCAAATTCAGAGATAGAGGGGGGAGGAAGGACACATGCCGAGGAATAAATCCAATTTTTTTTTGAGTGAATCAGTATTTTAATATGTGATAACATTCCTATACAGGACTGGAAAGGTGGT